AGCCGATTTCTTAGTTCACTTTTTCTCGGGCGTATTTTGCCCTGTACTATCCAAAGAAAGAAATAAAATTAAATAATAAGCTGTTGTGTTATGTTGTGTTATGTTGTGTTGTGTTATGTGTTGTTGTGTTGTGTTATTAATTTTTATTTCGTTTGTTTTATAGAACTCCAAAATATTATTTATCAATAAAGACTGAATGTCGTACAGGTAGAGTGTCGTATTCGCTTAGCTCATTTGTTTCGGTGTTATCCCCATAAAATACAAATCAGGACCGCGCACTGTAGAATAGTGAACCGCTTCGTACGTTTACCTCTCTTTAACGTTCGAAAAATATTGCACCGAAAGGTCGGTAGAATATTATGGCACCTGGACATCCTCCATGTGACGTACAGTTCAGCGTTGCGTATGCGCAGATTAATCTAAATACCCTCTAACTCTCTATGTACGTAACCCGAACCTAACGCATTAATTTTATGTCGAGAATTCGTACACAGGTGCGCCAGAACTGATCTTTTCAATGTTCTGATGGGAAAGCTGTAAAAAGTACAAAAGGACAAAGGAACTTATTTAATCCGATGTTCCACGCCTTACGTGGATGAATATTTTATGTTTTGGCGTGTGTTAGAGAAACATTTCTGCCTGATTTCATTCTAGCATATTGATCCAGTTTTTGCAGTACGAGTAATGAGGCAGTCGTGTTTCACATCCTATCACACGGGCATGCAGTATACACTGTATAACTTGTAATATTATGTACGCAACATTCTTGGCAGTAACCTTACGTAGGAAAACTGAGCCGGAATTGAAACAGAGCTTGAACCAGTGGGCTTATGTCGAACGAATGGCCAACGCCCGGATGGCGTTACGTTAGCACCGTGGGAATGAGGAAGAATGCTGACGTGGAATGTCACCTGCGTCTGTACGGTGGCACTATCGCATATCGTGGCAACATCCGAGCGAGCTGGAGCAGCGGCGGCAAAGGCTGAACAGGATAAGGTGACCAAGTACCAGAACATCACCCCGGACTACCTGTTCAGCGCTCTGGGCTTTGAAACGCTAGGACCAAACGGACCGGAAGCTTCCCGTCTGCTGACGGAAGTGGGTATAAGAAGGGTACGGCAAGAAACTGGCGAGGCAAGAGCACCGGAATACCTGCGCCAGCGTATCAGCATAGAAATCCAGCGCGGGAACGCGGCCTCCGTTCAGGAAACAGCTCCACCGGGAGCAAATTTAGATCAGTTGTTCTCTGTTCTTAGACCTCCCGAGGCTGTTTTCTGCTGATTGAGTGTACTGCGTTGTGATGTTAACTGTTGTGTATAAGCTAAATGTACAAGGAATAAAATGTTAAGTATGTACAAAATAAAAAAAAGGAAAACTTGAAATTAAGCATCGCTATCGTTAGCACTACCAGTAACGCTCCCCATAACTGGCATGGCTCGGTGCCGCAAAGCCATAAAACTTTCCAACCGTTTTGAAAACTGCAAATTCAATTGCTGCTACCTATATTTGCGTTGTTGATGTATCAGATGTATCCGAAATCCTGAGATGTATTTCGAACTCCTTGAAACTGCCAGGTTTTATCGCTTGCCACACTCAGTAATGGCAGATGCCCTGCCAGTGGTAGGTGCCACTTTTAAAATCCTTAAGCACTACGTCTACCTCGTACAACGTGCACCAAAGGGAAAAAGTTTAACTTTTATTCGTGACAGCTGCACTCCCGACAACTGTGCCGTCTCCACATAGTTGTATCAACTTATATACCACATCAGTATGCATACTCGCATAACGCGCTCACATTCGCATACAGCCACAAAGCTATAAAAACACACGCACCAATTTGACCACTACACATCCGCTCCTGCAGGTCAGATTAATCCTGCCTTCCTCTCATTCCCACTTGACCATAGGTCACAAACACTCATGCATATAAATGCATAACACCATAAAGACAATGTCCCGCACAAATATAATCATAAACCATGCAGCTCAGACTCGGCCCAAACAATACCATAAAGATATATACAGCCATGCAATCTACGCTATATCCAGCGTCCATGGTCGTAAACCTCCACGATCGTAACACACTGCCACCTTTTTTCCCTGCCCACACTCCCAAATGTCCGGGTGCGGTTGTGGTTTTGGTGAACCCTTGCCGGCACTTGCGTTGTTACCACGAAACGTACGGCAACCCGTTTCTGCTCCTGCAACCGCTGGAAATGGATACGATAGCGCGGAGCCGTCGGTGATTTTCACCCATAGATTCCTGCGAAACACGATCAGGTCAATCAACTAACTGAAATAGGCCGGGAAAATGTTAGAAGCCCAAAGAGCACATACGGCGCCACAAATCGCACACTCACCGCAAAAAGGCGGTTAACCCAAAAGTACAATAAACCCATAGAAAAGGGTACAGTAACTGCAGCCTGTATAACAAAATCAGGCAAAGTACAGTAGTGTTTTGCAAAGAATGCCACTGCCAAGCTTTAGTGCAGCGCTTCGAACAAACATACGTTCGTTCATTCAGCAAATCGACCACTGGTCAGCCGTGGCGACCCAACTAAACTTTCACTATTTTGTTGCAGAATCGATACAAATAAAGAATCATCCCGTTGGCGGTGCAGTACTACTTCATTTCGACGTCCTGCAGCAGGGCGCATTGCGCATTGAACTTCACCGCACCCGACAGGATGACTACGCTGGTGGTGTACCTGAACGATGTGGAACACTCCTGCAATCCCACCACTTCACATCGACCTCTCTAAACCCCACCGAACGCCGCCGCTTAATCCAACGCGTCGTCCTGGCGTTGAGCATCGTTCAAACCGCCATCACCATCAATCGCGTGGTGGACGTCGTGGAAGCAGGTAAGTCAGTAAGTAAGTAAGTAAGTAAGTAAGTAAGTAAGTAAGTAAGTAAGTAAGTAAGTAAGTAAGTAAGTAAGTAAGTAAGTAAGTAAGTAAGTAAGTAAGTAAGTAAGTAAGTAAGTAAGTAAGTTTGTTCGTTTTGGTACATAGTTTGTACTCGTATCATGATACTTATTAAAGGTCCTGGGTAGTAAGTAAGTAAGTAAGTAAGTAAGTAAGTAAGTAAGTAAGTAAGTAAGTAAGTAAGTAAGTAAGTAAGTAAGTAAGTAAGTAAGTAAGTAAGTAAATAAGTAAGTAGTAACTAGTGAGTAAGTCATTACGGGTTGAGTAAAACAGCCAATAACATTATATTTGATTTTGTTTTTGAAAATAGCTCAGTGCTTTGCATATTTGGTGTACGTATTAGTCGACTTACATAAATAACAGTGTAACTGAAAAGTTTGGCCGATAGTAAGTAAGATTTCGAAAATGTCGATAATTACGAGATGGTGCTACTGTCGTCAGATGGTAAAAGATAATTTCCATATTTGGTTGCTAAAATTTTTAGGCGAATTCCGTTGTCCCTGTAATGCATACAGTGGCTCAAACGGAAATGTCAGTGACCCGCCGGACGGATTTACTCGTGCACATATTATACCTGAAGCCTGATAATGGGCTCCCGTTTACAGTGGGTTGGCTACACGCCGCGCCACGACGCACAACAACCGAAGTTGATGATCAAAATTGTAAAGCCGAAGACGCTACACAGTTCAGGGAATTACAGGAATCAGGGAGACGAAAGGTCATTCCGAACGAACGATCGACGTACTAAAGAAAGAAAGCTTTTTTCTCATCAAAGTTCATTAGCAGTTTAAGAAGTACGGGTGTCTGCGAAGCAGCACCGTGCCCGACTGATTTTCGTAGAAGAATTTTTTTTTCATTCTCATCTCCACAGAAGATAGAAATTCGGAACACAGAACGCCCACAGGCTACCGATTACATCATCGGCTTTATCACCGACCATTCAAATAAAACATAATTATTTGAGTTATAACACTACTGCTATAATTTGTCAGATGGAAACCACGCCGATCACCTTCTGCCTGGGCGGCATTATTGCCATTTATCGCATCTTTATTTTATCTGTACATAACATTAACAGGTATATCATGAGCTGCTGGTTATAATTCGGCTTACACTTTTATCTCCATTACTTTTGAAGTAAACGCAGTAACGGACTAATTTGCAGTCTAACGTTATATGACGTTGGATGGGCAGGTTGTTGGGCTGGTTCTGACTTGCATTGTCGTCATTCTTCAGCGGGACCAGACAGATTCGCTGGATCGGAATATATGTAACGGAGTGGAAGAATTTGTTTAACGATGCCCTGAGTGCCAGTAGACGCAATGTTACCAAGCTGATTATTCAGCAGAATATCAGCATGTATGTTTATTGTCTTTATTTTACTAATTGACATTTCCGGTGCCTCTGAAAATATAATATTGATTCTCTTTGATACACAGCTCCAAGTTGGCGCTTTTTGGAATTCTTAACCGCTCGACATCAGCCCTTGGCTGACGATGAACATAATCTGGAATATCAAGGAACGCAAAAGAATTCGGAGGGACCTAATGAAAGATCATTTGACACTACTTGATTTGCCACTGCTTCGCGTGTAAAAGCTGTGTACATGATTACGGAGGAGCCCTGTAATAAGAAAGTATATCCTTCATACAACAAAAACATGAATCAAGCAAATGATCGTGTCCCGCTTAAAATGCCATCAGTGGGCTGCTTCGGGGTAGGCGTACGCTACGGTGTTTCCCCACTGGGCAACCCGACATACGTACAAGTCAGTAGAGGTGGAGTACTAATTTTTGACACACTGCGTTGGTGCCGACCGCATTGATTGCTGCGGTGTACAGAGCGTCATTTGCGCCAAGCTATCCTCTGTTAAATACAAACAACAAGCGGCTGTACACTAAACGTTTTCTAATTTTTCTGCAGATTGCGATTGGTCTCCACTGATGCGACTAAACAACGATTCCATGACAATAACGATCCCACAGTCAAGCTGTACTGTACAATTACGGTTTCGCGTGGCGCACCTATATTTTGTGCAAATAATTTTTTTCTATATTTTGCGACGGAGAAATGGCTGTGGTAATATCACCTGAAGGTGTTTTCAATTACAGCAGTCAAGCTGAAATTCATGCTAACGCATAACGGCAATAGTTGTTGTTTCGGGTTTTTTCTCAAAATTTACAGCTACACCGATCCACTGCCCCCCAAACAAACCCGTAACCAAAGCACCATGCTGAAGCACCGCCACCTCACTTTCCGTCTGACCTTAGCGCTACTGGCCGCCACCATCGGGACGTGGTTCCCGCACGGTCTCAGCATGTCGGCCCTCAACGTCCCGCAGTTCATCGTGCAGAACTGGATTCGCTCCGTCAAATGCCAGCGTTTCGGCGGCATCTTCCGCGACAACTACACCATGGATCATATCAACAACACCACCAACGGTCCCGACCGGGCGTTATGGTGCAACGCCATCCCGGCGGAGGAGACGGCGCGGGAACGGAACGAACGGGACGAACGTGCTGAACGGGAACACGGAACTGAACACCCTGTGGGCGCTGTTTTCCTCCTTGCTGTGCGTCGGCGCTCTGATCGGGACGATGCTGACCAATCCGCTGATCCGCTGGGTCGGAGTCAAGCGCTCCCTGATGTGCGGAGCGACGGTGCTGGCTGCCGGCTGTGTGATGTGCTCGTTCGCACCGCTAGCAGGGGCGTGGGAACTGTTTCTCGCCGGACGGATTGTCATCGGACTGGGCACGGGGGTGGTGACCGTCGTGGCGCCGGTGTACACGGCCGAAATCACCCCGGCAAATTTACGCGGTGCCGCCGGCACCCTGCCCCCGATTATGTTCATCCTGGGATTAATCGTCACCACCGCGGTCGGCTTCCCGTCGGCACTGGGGACGGAAGCCGGATGGCCGTGGCTGGTCAGTATTGTCGTCATCCCGGTGGCGGCATCGTGTATCGCGCTGCCCTTTTGTCCGGAGAGTCCCCGGTATCTGTACATTGAAAACAACGATGCGCAGCACGCCGCCAAAGCCCTGGTGTGGTTCCGGGGCACCTCCAAGATCCAGGAGGAAATGGTGGAGATGCACGTGGAGATCGACCACATGAAGGGACTGCGCAAGGTGTCAGTGTGGGCTCTCCTCTCCGATCCGTACCTCCGGAAGATCAGCGCCCTGACCGCCGTGCCCATGCTCGTGCACCAGTTCTGCGGATTCCACTGCGTGACCTTCTACTCGACATCCATCTTCGAGAGTGTGGGACTGCGGCAGGTGTACGCCGTGTACGCTACGATGGGTGTGTGGTGTTGCTACTTGGCGTCACTGTTCCTCTCCATGTTCCTGGTGGACCGGCTGGGACGCCGGAGCCTGCTGCTAATCAGCCAGTGTGGGATGGTCATGGCCCTCATCCTGTTTGTCATGTTCGGCTGCCTCACGGAGAGCGGTGTGGTGGGGACGCAGTATGGCAGTGCGGCGTGTCTGCCCTTCTTCATTGTGTGCTTTGCGCTGGGCTCGGCGTCCATTCCCTGGATCCTCCCCGGGGAACTGTTCCCGCAGGAGGCTCACAGTTCCGCAGCTAGTTTTATTGCGTCGATATCGTGGGCATCCGCCATCTTGACGACCTTCCTGTTCCCCATCGTGGAGCATGCGGCGAAACAGTATACCTTTTTGATTTTCGCCGGCTTAGTCATCCTGGGGACGGTGCACGTGGCCTGGAAGCTGCCGGAAACTAAGGGGAAAACCATCGATGAAATACAGACCAGTTTACATGGTGAACGCCCTATTAGTGAGCATGCGCCGCATGAGTAAGCGGCACGCAACGCCTGGAGATAGTATTCGCACTATAAATAATGGATGATTAATTACTTCGGTGTCAACGCTCCGTAACTACGTTATGCAACTCGCTTCTTATTTCTTTGCTACCGTGTAGCATCAGCTTGAAAGCGAAGGTCATAGAACATTATCGTCGCATGGAATAAAGCAATACAAAACCAAAATCTTCTCTGAGGATAGAAAATAAATAACAGACAGAACATTGTGAAACAGAAGAAGAAAGGAAGAAAATTGTCAAAGCACTGTATTACATATTAAGAATTAAACTATATAGAAAATGAATTGATTATGTCATTTATGCACAAAATAAACTGTCATGAAACACGATTAAACCAGACTGTCAGCAGCCGCTACAGTAACCGATATGCGGCGCTACCGGTGATATCCTTCCGAACTCCATCCAGCTGCAACTTACAATTAACGGCATCCGCATGTCTTTCAAACAAATAATAAGTATCAGCTCGTCCGTTGTGGGCTGCCGTTAACGGGTCGCCATGGTCACCTACTCTAGCGCATCCAGTCCATCCACGTTTACATAAAACAACACTGTCACCCGTTCCATGAGTCCGCAGGAAACCAACATCAGTACACTCATCAGCAGTAAAATCCAGATGGCGCTGTCGGTGGGCTGGCGTTGCGCTGTGGACTGAACGGATCGATAACGACAGTACGAAGCGATAATACATGGATACTGACACTGTGGTGATGGCCACCGGAATCCCGTACTGTACACGATCATCTGTGGAGCAATGATTTGAGCGCTCTTATACACGTATAACTGTTATTCAATCGGTTACCAATGTAGACGAAATTATGCAGATAAAGGATGAAGGATTACGGATGAGAGTCGATGCGATAATAACGACCGCTAAACAAAGAATCAGCGCCAATTTTGCCATGTGGTGGGTTTCATACGAAACCGACCGGGTGGTAGTCCAGAGACGGTTGCCGATGGTCAAGAGATGCGTATAGAAGAGAATCCCGGGAAGACATTGATAAAATAGTGGTGTATGTCGCAATCGGCGGCGTGGGCAGGTGATGTGCCGTATGCCCGTGACTGGTCATGGTGATTAAAAACAAACGGCAAAGAGAAACTGGACAGAATAGCGTTAGTAGAGACCATCATGCAGATGTACGCCATAAACGCGTTTAAACTCTTCCTAATAATCAGAACGATTACGAGGATGTTCAACATCGAGCCGGGAACCGAGGTACTCAACGATGAGAGGTAGTACAGGAACCAGTCAAAAGGGTCCTTAATTGTTGCCAGATTCCTTGCCGTACTGCTGGTGCTGTTGGAGGAAAAGTCAGGGTCAAGAAAGGAGACATTCAGCAGTTCTTGAAGAATTAGGTACTGGAGCAAGATTCTTCCCGGTGCTTCAGGATAGACGAACGCTCTACCTAACACAATCATAATTCTTCTGGCCGCCGACTCGGCTTCAGAGAGCACGACTCAAACCTCCACTTGTCTAAGCCCACTCGCCATTAGAGCCGCTAAAATCTTCTGTCGTTTACACAAGTATTCGGAAACCAGCCACAGAAACTACAGTTTCTTATATTGTACGACGCGTATCCGTCGTATACCGCATATAAGAATTTGTCACGGTACGCTTTGCTGGAACCGGCCGCACAAATTATTCAAATTACGTGTAATATCTTAGCTTCATAGGAATGACGTTCCTCAGGGTCAGTAGTCAAAATAAAAAGGGTAGCGTAATGTATCGTATACCGTAGTTAGTGGATGCTGGTGTTTTACACCTCTACCCAACGGGTCAATGGTCACCGTAACAGTCATACAATTATTATAAAAGTGATTTTCAAGAATGATACAGTCAAACTAACGGCGCTATTATTTACTAGCCTGGTGTAAAACCGCTAATCTTGGTTTGTACATCATTAATAGATCGGGACGTGGCTTGGCTGCTAAAAGATTTAAGGGAAAGAAACAAAATGCTTGTGTTAAACCATGTGATCGATTTTGGAAAGCAAATAGCAAGCGGTTTAGCATTCCTCCATGTAAATGGTGTCGCGCACTACGGTATAAAAGCGGCAAACGCACTTCTGCGTAGAAAGAGCGAACAGGCATACTAGCTGTACATTGCCGATCTTCATAGGAGTGTTTTTATGGAGCAAAATTTTACCACCAGCAAGGAGCCCAATCGTTTATTGTACACTGCACCCTCCATGGCACCGGAAAGGGCAAAGTGTATCCTCCAGACGGAGATAATAAAACCGCCTGGTAGAAAATTGGACGTATGGACGAGCATGGCCTGCATTTTTATTGCCCTGGTCGGCAGTCGTTTTGGAAGTGCAGATCAGTGGCTGCCAGAGACTAATACGAAGGAAAAATTCCAAAATACTGCACTAGTTCCCGGACTACAAGTCGTTCACAGGGTACATGGAGGTTTCAGACCGGTGCAAAATGAAATCCAAGAATTAATGCAGCAGTGTCTGCGTGATGATGTTAAACAATGATTCTGCGCTGCATGCATACTGGATCCACTGGAGTCTCTGCACTTGTAATTTTTTTAATATTACAGTATAAAGCTGACATCTGAATGCCGTAAAGTAGGATCAAATCTGAGCTGAAACATTTTGTGTGTGGTTAATCATAAAAAGATGAAAACCTTTTGTGGTACAGGGGAAAATTTTTTGTGGTTGGGCAACCCTGCTTGGATTTCCTTGAACTTTAGTAATTTCTTCGTTTTACGATTAAACAGAATTTGAACCTAAGAATTTTTCCCCAGTAATGTCGAATAACAGGCAGTTTAGGTGAGCGCTTCCGAAATAACTCCTTATGTGCAAGACTTTCACTTGGTATCAGCTGGTAATGCCCAAAAAACACGAAAAAGATCAGACTATCATAATATTATGCTGGGTTGTGAACTTGTGATTATTACCGTCGTCGTAACCTACGGCTGTATCTCCGTGTACAACCAGGCGAAACTGCTAGAGCAGCAGCGCCTACTACATCGAAGAAAGTGCAGAACTTTTGCCCCATCCCTTTTTCGTTTTTGAACTAGCCGTTATACACAACTTTTTCATTTCAACCATTGCGAATTTGTACATACAGTATATACGTGGCACATATATTTAATATATGCGAATTTATGTGAATATATGCGAAAACGCAATACAAATATGCGAAGTTGTACTGTACATATATTTATAACGGTTAAAGCTTTCATTCGGAAAGCGTTCATACGAAAATGCAGAAAATGGAGAGCTGCGGTAATCTAAAACCTGTTCCCAAAAGCCGGATACGCTTACGGCCGGCATGTCGAGTTGCTCCATTCACGAAATGTCTTCTGGAGCAGATGCACGTCCTCAGTCGACAGACCTTTTTCACCGAGCTCCCACATGAGAATGACGTAGGTGGCGATAACTCCGCCCAACTGGAAAAATGTCTTGTAATCAACAGCAACTTTGAGCACCAAACCTACACTTACTATATATACTTCTAGTTGTAAGATTGCACATCTTACCGACGCCACGAATCCGCGGTCAATAAAGAAGAACTTGCCCACCGTAAAACCAATACGATTCGTTTGCACGCTCTGTATATACGACACCAACTTGGAATGCTGACGCTGATCGTCAATCCGGCGCAGGAATCTGCGCAAAAAGGGGACGATGGACTCAGCCTGTAATTATCAATTCAAGGAAGACGAGTGCAGAATAAAAATGAAATTATCGTAACCGAAATTATTTTCGTTGTTGGAGGTGTTTTGTACTGGAGATTCTATACTGACCTTATCGTTGACGTAGACAAAATACACCGTGGCCTGGACAATTCCTGCACCCGACAACACCGTCAATCCCACGGCATCCAACTGCCATCCGGCTTTCAGCGTCGGCATCGCCGACAAGAAATTCAAAATATAGAAAGAGTACCAGATGAACGTCGGGAACGCCAGCACCCCATCAAAAAACCGGCCACCGTATCACCCAGTTCGCCGTGACTCAGCAGCAGCGCCTTAAACACCGGCAAATCCTCTTTATTACCAACACGTTTCCTTACCAAGGCTGTAATTTCCGCAAAGCACATCCCAACAGCGACAATTATCGCGCTTAACATCGCCTGCATTGCGATGATATATGCGATGAACAGGCAGGTCATTACGCTAATGTACAGCCACACTGCGTTCTTCGAAACCGGGTGCAGATGCAGCGCTAGTCGATCCAGCAACCAAGCGACGGCCGACACTGTTTCAATTCGGCCAGCAAAATAGGCCGCCAGTAACGGATATAAACGACACAGAAACAAGACACTACTAAAGATGTACATAAAGATACCGACACACAAAAAATGTTTCTTCGTTTGTGGTGTGAAATATATGGCGCAATATTGATCCACCTTGTACAAAATGGTTTCGATGGAGTTATGCCGGCAAAACATGTAGACATACGCCGTGAAGACGAAGACGTTACTGATGGCATTACACGCTGATACGACGATATATTGGGTGGTGGAGGTGCCGTTGGCGGGGGTTACTGTTAAGCGGTATGTCGCGGCGGACGACCAAGTCAACCAGGAGACACCGAAAACAACGATCCATAGGTTCCACACAAAGTGTTGGATTTTCTGGAGGCGGGATGAAGACGGCGGCTGACGCGAGAAGAAGCCGTGTCCACAGAACTTGGCGAGTTTTAAATGGAAGCGGACATGGTGGCGCAGGATGCCGTACGATGTCCCAGTCATGCTGGTGCTAAAAATTTATTAGTTTGAAATAAAACTGGGAAAGATTGTGCCGGCTATAGCTTAACGTAGGACTAATTTAATATCGTTTTGCGGTGCAGCGGTTCCTACGGCATCATTTTGAAATTGTGCTGTGCGAATACTGCACAGACGTCGTATGATAGGGCCTGAGGGAGTTAGCGTCGATAGGTAGCACACAGTTACGCGGATGTTGGCTGAGGGTTAACGTTTACATACATCGCCGTCTTGGGAACGCTCCCATCGTGTTCTGTTACACACTCTGTGGCTGTCTGGGATCTGGGAACCAGAATTTACTGCGTCGCTACCTTTCTGATCTATAATATTACAGCGTCATTGGCTGAGTATGGAAGTATATGAGTGTTCTTAAATGCACTGCCATAAAAACATAAAGTAAATTTAGCCGGGAGAACGGTATGACGCCGGCACCAGCGAT